CAATGTAAAATTGAATCCAGGTAATTAAGGCCAAATGACAGTAAATGCGTTTGAGGTATAAAGCGTTTGCATTGACGTCATGCAATTTTCGAGAATCTCTTTTATCCGCCATCTTTGGGGTCAGGCCATGTTTACAGACACGACTTATTACCGTGGCAAACGAAAGGCAAAGACTTGGGTTTGAGAAACAAAAACGCATACGCAAAACTCGATTGAGACTTGTCGCGGTACAAAGCATACCCTTCCCAAAACGCTATGGGAGAGGTGACGTAGAGTGCAAAGGACCTGTTGAATTCATCATTGATCTATTCAAGACCAGCCTTGTTTGGTAAACAAACTGTACCGCTCGGGCATTTTCAAATGTGGAAGGTGTGTTTGAAATGACTTATTACTCTCACTGTGTTCATGGGACTCTAGTGCGCCTTTAAGCCCAACGGTTTCAACCTGATTTCTCGAAATTTGCAATCACTGACAAATTCAGCCAGTATTTTTAAGGCCTGTCACCCCAGCGTTTCCCTTCGTGCGTAATGTGATGAAGTTTTAATGTTCCACGCGTATTCCGGACCGCTTGCAGCAGCTGCACAAGCAGACAATGGCTGCGGTGTACCCTCGTGTAACACCATTTTTGTTTACTTATTTTCCCGCCCGCTCCACAGCTCTTTTCCACTCTGTCAACAGTCTGTCACGCACGACCTGCAGGCGATCCAGGGTGCTTCCTCCGTCACGGGGAGAATGCACGCCCGTTCCAGTCTCACACTGTCACAGTCACACTTTCCACATCAGACAGAGATTTTGTCCAAAATCGTACTACTAATGAGCTCATCGTTTCCATCTATGTCATTTGCAGCTTGAATTACGTGTAAAAGATATCCCAAGAAAAGCCCAACGAATGTAATATTCATATGGCATTTGAATTTATCGTAAATATCCCGTTGTCAAATAAGGCCCCTATCAAGTTTGGAAGATTAAATCTATGCTCCCTTTTCCCTGGTATCAGGTGAAGTGATATCCACTATGTTACACTTGACAATTCAGCAGAGTGAGTGATCCAGTTGCGTCAAGTGGGTTTTGAGCGAGGAAACTGCAACTTCAAACAATGCAGTGAATCGTAGATGGATAACTCTGTCTGGACACTTCGTGTGAGTTTACGTAATGTAAATCCTTCACCTTTTCTATCCTTCGCACTCTCTTTAAAGTTGTCTCCCGCTTCTCTCTTTCTCCAGTCCTTTTCTTGCACCCAGATTTACGCTTTTATGTCTTACGCATCAATCCATGGGAAATTCTCATGTCACACTGTCCACATTTTACACTCGAACAATCGTGTCTCTCCCAGCAACATCCCTATTTTTTCACATTTTTTCCCGGTTTATCTCCTCCACTTCTGCCCTGACTGTACTCGTCACGGTTGACCTTGTTGATACTTGACCATGCTCAGAGTGGTATGCATTTAAAACCTGTACGCGACACGCACGATTCCTGTCGAATGGATGCTAACCTGCGCGCGTGAGCAATTTTGGAAATTCAAATCAGTAACGCGGCTGCGCGGTGAGACCGTTGAAAACACAACTGGTCATTTCACTCAGTATTCTTGCGTCATCTTTAGCAGAAAACAGCGCTGCTGGAATCATCTACGTTCGAATACCCTGACCCACACACGCAGCAACAGCTGTCAGAGTTCCCGCCAATAGTCTCCCTCCCTCGTATAAACTCCTCTCAACACCATGCCCACTCCATTAAACCACCCCCCCTCTCTCATCTATCACACCCATCCAACCCTCTCGTTTCAACTCGCGCATCGGCTCTCTCGAGTTTCCGTTCACCTCTTACTCCACATTACCCACTTCACTTGGTTTCCGTCTCCTCTCTCTAGCTTTCTCTTCTCTATTCCTATTCGAGTATCTCCTTGCGCGTGCATCGCCTTCAGAAACGCACCCGGGATTTCATCCAGCACGTGAATTCAGTTCCCAATCCAGTGCAGTTCCCTTTATGTTAGATGAGCATGACTGCATGCTTGTCTTTTTGTTCAATTTGGGGAGAAATGTGTCTAATTTACATTAGAGTATAAACATAATTTTGGGTGGGCTTCAGGAGTAGGCCCTATATAGTTGGAATGATTCTCAACTACAGGCCGCCTGGTTGCCCACTGGAGATCGAAAAATGACCTTCAATTTAATTGATTGTGTGTCGCAAACAATTGGGAAATTTGTGATTATTTTTCCTGATTTGTCGTTTGAGTGAGTTTTTTGCTATTGTTGTTTATGGCGGTATATTTGCTGGCTTTCTCCCAAATAACAACAGCATCATTACCCTGTAATGCGCTCCATACGTGCCTCAAGAGGGCGCTCTGTGGCTAGGAACTTGAAGATCCTTAACCCGGATTATGTGTCACATCTCTCAGAACACTTTGCTGTCCAACATCTTCCACGCCGGGCTGTTTCCAAATCAGGGATTTCGTTGGTACGGGTGTGGTTTTTCACTTCATCCTGTACACGGTAGAGTTGCATACAGAAAATAAACGCCACAAGCAAGCCCGTTTACAAATGTGTTCAGCGCACGAAGGCCACGAAGTGAACATTTTAAACGAGACTGATCATGGAACGCAGATCAATGCACGTTTCAGTCATTATTGCGCGGTTGGAACCTGTCTATTTCATGATCCTGTTACAAAGTTCAAGCACTCGTAATGCAAATAAAAAATGCAAAACTTCCTAATGTTATAATGCGAAAAGCTCACATGAATGAGGCTGTGAATCTCAAACTCTCATTTTATACAAAAAAGAACGTTTAAGTGGAAAGCATTTTATGCAAACAACAGTGAGACAATGCGGAAAATATACACGCATAATTTTGTAAGTGACCCTTATTTCTTCATAACAAATATCTGGTAAATGGAATATGGCTTTTATTATGTAGTCCAAATACCCTGGCAAGCTAGAAAGAAATCATTCAGTGAGTTAATTTTTGGCTGATTTTCCATAGTGGAACAATCAAATTTCTCGTTGTCTGTTGCGATTGAAAATTAATATTTGTGTTTCGGCAAATTAAACTGTTTGCGAAGGATGTTTTCCTTTCAAATGGTGCACAAACTCATGTTAGCTGAAACTATTTAATTTTTATGTTCAAAAATGCAGGTGTTTTACAGTTTCGTTTTCCGTCTACAGTGACGGCGTTTCAATCGAGAGCTATCACATTGAAACCAACCCTAAATAATTACCGATTTCAGTTTGGAGGAAATTGCATCGAATGTACAGAATTTGCCCAATCAGCCACCGTATGGTAGACAAACAGCTGTGCGTTCTTGACCTTCAGTTTTAGAACGCCACCAAGTGGTCTTTTTTCTCCTTAAGTGCGCTTAATTTCCCAACCTCGATCTATTTGTTTCTCGCATGTTGTAAAGCATAAAACAAATACTTCCTTAATACCCGCAGGCTTCTTTTTATATTACCGAACCAGTGAATTCATTAAGCGATTCAACATGGAAATTAATTCCATTAGGATAGCTTTAATAGCCAAACGATCTTCTCGCCGCATCGACTTTCTCCCCAGCAACTCAGGGCATTTTTTTAATCGGCGCAGGTGCAACCGCCAATCCCGTTGAAAACACGAGACCGTTTGTGTTGGAAACCAAAAGCAAATTAAGTTAATTCCTAACGTACACCGGACAAACGTCGCGCCCCTGTACGTGTCACTTCATAATTATTGACATGCTCTTAGCAGAATATGTCCTGCACAACAGGTTTCTCCTAGGGAATATTTTTATATGTACATCGGCTGACGATGATACGGCCACATACGATAATGTGCCGGGCTTGTTCGATTTTCAGTTTGGGAAAGACAAGCTGTGATATACAGGTAAATAATAGAATTGAAAAATTCTTTCTCGGTTGTCAGTACAAAATCCTAAAATCTTGGAGTGAACTCTTCATCACAGTCGTTTCATTCACCAGCTTATATGTGAACCATTATTTCTAGCTTTAAGATAATATATATACAAATTCGGTTACCATTGCTTCGTAAGCTTGTCTCATATCTCGAGGTTAAAATCGCGAGGTGGATATTCGAAACCCATCCGGGTTTGGTGTATGATACATGGGCAGTTAACACACTGAGCTATCGTCTCAAGAATAAATCCTTTTAGAAGTCCTTGTAGCAATGTTAAGCGTTTTCAGATGTCCTTTGCGTCGGGGAGATGTTCATTTTAATTACAGGTCTTGTTCTTACACTGACGTATAATTAGTTGTATCAATGTTCACCATGTTCTAGTTATCTACAGTACTTTCATACAGAACTATTTACATATTCATATACGCAAAACAATATACGTAGTTAATTGTGAAACTGCACTTTCCATTAAAACTAAGCCTCTTTGATTTACAATTATCAAGGTATCGATATATTGTACATCTAGATTTCCTGGTATTATTAACAACTGTAAACTCTAAGCGTTCCTGTGGGCCTTTCTTCCTAACCTACTAAGCACAATTTCAATGCAGCCTTGCGCCAGCGAAGGCAAGTGCTTCTTATACTCATCTGTGTAATCCAACAATAAACGTTGTGAACGCTTGTTCCTATTCAGAAAAGGCCCACAAGTTGCGTTCACCCCAGTCCCGACCGACATGAATGTACAAGTTTGATCAAGATGCAGACGATGACTAACTTTCATCCAACGCACGATACAAAACGATGATTGGATTGGTCTGATCGACAATTCGGGACCATTCTACCATAGTTGGTAGCATCGCCGGTTACCAACGGCCGCTCATACCATAATGCGCGGCAGGGAGCCAGTGCTATGACCTGCCAAAGTGTTCGCTCGTCGCCCAGCGCTCGAACAGGGCACTGGGAAGGGCTAATGGCTTGCCCTGTGATTGGCCACATTGTCCACAACCTGCTACAGCGAGGTTATCTCTTCCTGTTTATGATCCCTCCTGGTTATGGTCCGTCTTATTGTAAAAATCTCGTGGGATCACAAAATATTAATGAGCTCTCGCGCACAAATAAAACCATTTGGTGGAATGCATCCTGCAAGGCCATCAGCCCTTCCCAGCGCCTTGTTCGGGCGCTGGGCGAGCGAATCGTTGGGGCAGCCTCAAACTAGAGACGCTTGTGCGTTGATGTTAATGCGCAGGCGCAAGGTACGTCACGTATCAACTAGTGGTTCTTGATCGAACCCACACACTTCAGAATTTCACGAACGGCGGGTCCCAGAAAAGCCAGGAGGAGTGACCATAAAGTTTGAGGGTGTTACCCAGAGCCATTTTGGGGGCAGATTGAGAGGGTATTTATGGGACTGCGTGGGTGACATCAGGAAAAAGGTTCCAGCGCCTCACCACCACCTCATGCATCTAATATTGATGAACTCCTGGTCTGCCGGCGTGGTTATAATGGCGTAGCTTCTGAAGAGTACTTCGAGGTTGTCGGTTATTCCCATTTTTTTCTCTTCTCTTAGCCGTGGCCTTACACTCATTGGCCTTGGAATCTCATTTTGACCAGGGTAAATCCTGGCTTCATTTTCAAGTTCGGTGTCACCTCGAGACTCATACTATCGGAGCCAAATGGAAATAGTCCGAACTTAAACCTCGAATGAGCCGGTTCAGTGTTTCTGACGCAGAAAAGTGGACCTGCATTTAGCTGAAAAGACTGCAATTCAGGGGACTTAGTCCGTGCCAAGTGCAGTCTCAAGGCTAAGTCCAGAAATGAAGCCAAGGTTCCGGGAAAAATCTGTCGTGGAGAAAGGCAGGCTACCTCTTTACTTGTTTGATGTTATCGCGTGCAAGCTGCGATGAAGACGAGGAACAGTCACCGGCCTCGCTAAACTTTGGTATGCACCGAGTTTGAGCTCTAGCTAGACTCATTGTGAGTGATGACAGAGTTATGCTGGATGTCAGTCAGGGCCGTGGAGTTCCGGTCGCAGACCATGGTCCGCTTCCCGCTCTTGTAGCCGCGTCCTCGTAGCGACACACACGGCAGGTTCTCCCGGAACTTCTCGCTGATCAGGGCGTAAATGAACGGGTTCACACAGCTGTTGATGTAGGTCAAGAGCAGGCTGATCTCGAACACAAATGGCCTACCGTCCCAGTAGTTAAGGTCCCGGTTGTAGACGAGTATCATGCGGCAGATGTAGAACGGTGCCCAGCACAGAAAGAAGACTACCACTACTCCGGTGACGATGCGAGTCACGCGCTTGATATCGGCGCCCGCGTCGTTCCTCATGGAGACCTCTCTCATCTGGACGATCAGTCTCCCGTAGCAGAAGCAACTGACGGTCAGCGGCACGCAGAGTCCCAGGACGAAGTTGTAGGTGATGAAGGCCTGGGTCCAAAACTGCCGGCCGGGCTGGCCGAAGGACGTGAAGTCGGTGATGCACAGATGGTATGAGCCGTTTTGGTGTTCTTGGTACATGTAGGTGCTCGCAAGGAGAGTCGGTAAGGCGGCCAGTATGGCGGCTATCCAGATGACGACGCTCACGGCCGCTGCCTGGCGTCTCTTGCGGTGAAGCCGCGCCCGGCTTGACCGGCTAACGGCCATGTATCTCTCGATGCTCAGGGCCGTCACGAAGAAGGCACTAGCGTACATGTTGAGGCCGTCAAAAGCCAGGGCGGCCCGGCACAAGAACTCCCCAAACGGCCAAATGTTCTTGATCTGGTAGGCAGCCTGTAGGGCCAGCCCAGCCAGGAACAGATCATCAGCAATTGCTAAATTCAGTATGTACATGTTACCGGCAGTTTTGAGGCCAAGCCGCCTGAGCAGTACCCAGATAACCCACGTGTTGGCTAGAAGCCCGATGATACATACAACATACGACAAAGAGCCGGTAAGAATATAAATCCATCCTAACGTATCCTGGGAAGGCTCCTCGGTAGTGATGTTAGCCGCCATGATGTTCCCTCGCCAACAGTCCCGGGCGAATCCACCAAACTTCTCGTTGTATCTCGGCTTATCTTCAGCAAGATACAAATTGATGAAATCTTCAACAGGACAAATAATGATGCTCGGAAACGCGTTCGAGTTCCCACTGATAAATGGCCGCCTTTTCAATTAAAACATGATTAATGTGCACTCATAAGTAGCACGATACATTAAAGCAGATGGTTGGGTAGGCCTACGCTTGTGGCAAAACAATCACATAGCCCCTGAAGTGTTATATCTCTTTTTTTGTTAGTTTTGGTGGGAACGACAGCGTCATCCAGTACAAAATTTGAGTACCCGGCGAAATTGTGCCGTGGTCTCCAATCCAGGCGTTTGGTTTCCCGGCATGGGGTGCTTACCTCGTCTGAAGCCCCCCAGCTAAGAGGTGACGACAAGGCGGCTCAGTTGGCGTCTGCTTGGTTCCGGGACGACTCTAGAGGTGCTTCACGAGTGTTGGGCACTGCTACACCGACCTGTCCCCTGCAGCCGGTGATCTAGGGAAATTAATGAGGTCCGTAGGTTAGACTACCACTCACTGGAATCGATGCGATCCCTCTCGAGTTACTATTGAATAATCAGTGCCCCAACATAAAATGAAGGCGTGTTCTACAAAAGAACATCACCATAGACGATATTACATGTTTTCCAAGTGTTTTGGTATCCAAGCTCTGGTTTATCCCCCAATCTGAATGATTTTATGGGAGTGCATCGACACTGCGTTAAAAACAATGAATCTTTCCAAAATCTCCATAACAGTTGGCAAATGAAAATACCACTAGTCAAACGCATCATAACTTTACAGACTCATACACAAGTATTTCGCTTTGTTGTCCCTTTTTCATACTAAACGGTTCCTACGTTCGGTAACCTGCGTACTATAAGCAGAGGCATTCACCAGGGTCCATGCAGGCTCCCATGTCTGCTAACCATGGAATTCGTATGATTTCAATTCCATGCTTAGAGCAATTCACGGAAGTGCGCCAACTCTGTAAGCCCAAAATCTTTTCACAGAATACGCTCGTGCGCATAAGCTTAAATTTCTCGCTGACCTGTGAAACATGTAGCCTAGTAACCGTTAGCGCGGACGTTTCCGAAAAAGTTAGTGAAAACTAGTTACTTACGGCAATCACCGCCTGAACTATAAGCCCCCTTCTCCTAAAGCGGCCAATCACAATCGATTTGCGGCATTTTCAGTGAGTTTACATGTTGCTGTTTTCTTCAGCAGTTCCAACCCGATAATTTCGATTTACTACTGAAGCTTGGCCCAAATTTCGATTGCAAGACTCGACTATTACGAAGTGCACAGCCCTTCTCCTGGTCAGCTCTCCTCCCGACGCCCTCTGACTCATTATCAGCGTCATCCGATTGAATGGCTTCCTTGGCCTATAATATCACGCACCAAGGATGATTCTGAAGATTGCCGCGCTTCCAAGAACAAAAAATATGATTAGCGGAGAGGGTAAGGAGGACACAGGCTATAGGCTCTTGGCAGGCAGGCGCCAACCACCGGCTCCCCAATGAAAGCTGCCAGCCTGGCTCGACAGATTCCGCCCTGACAACCGGACCCCCTTTTCTCCATCGCGTCAGGAGAAAAACATACTTCAACAATAGACCCTTCACATGCTTAAACATGACGTGACTGCCTGACAATGATTAAAAAGGCGCGTCTGCGAAGTCGAGGCGCCTGTGCGCGTCTTTCGCGTCACCCGGGGAATGTTTCTCATCCCGTGCGTGTAGGAATCCTTGACGTCATAGCGAAAACATGGGGCAGGACAGTTGGCAGAATTTGAACCAATCGCAAGCAAGAGCCGACTAAGGACGGCGGTTCAATAAGCTACGCTATATCTGATTGGACTATTAAAACCTGACGCGACGAACCTTGATTGTTGATTTTGCTTGCCTGAAAACACTTTTTGAAGACATAAAACTGTCAGTCATAGATGAATTCATATGTTGTGTTTTTTTTACACACGGTATGCACTCAAATCTTTGGGTACATACACGGTCTGTCGGGTCACATACGCTGATGTACATTGCCTAAATATTTCATCTTGGAGTGAGTTCCAGTTAGGACGTAGAAGACATTCCTGCGACGGTTGCGCCATTTCATGTGCGAACACGGGGATTGGCGGTGGCCTAATTTCCAGCCGTCCACACCCAGTTCAGCGTTATATTGCTGTGGGCAGCCTGAAGGACGCAATCAACCCCCCCCCGTCACATCACGTGCAGTACCCGTAATTGATTCAGGATTTGCGTCCGGTGGATTCGAGAAAACACAAACATCAGAATAACGAAGCGAGGAACTTGTCAGGGGAAAGGTTTAACCGGATAAAATGTCGAGATTCGTTGGCCGTGAAAAAATTCAACTGGAGCCAAGTAAGAATTGGAAAGGCACAGACATGGAGACCCTGCTGCCGTTGATTGAACCGGCGCGTAATTAGGATTTAGACTCCCCCTCCAGCAGTATGTGGCAAGCAGGAAGCTGATTCCATCAAAATTCGATCACAGGTCAATTCACAAGTTCGATCACTGGAGCTGAAAAGTAAAGTGAGTGGATAGCTTCGTTAAAGGTGAAACAGCTTTTCACTTTAACCTTTAAAGAACCGTGGGCAGAATCCACCCGGGCCATTTTCCCTGAAATCGTCGCGCTGTTTTTTTTTCTTTTTCTGAAAAAAAAAGAATTCAGGAATTTTGCAAACTAATGTATGTCGGTCATTTTGACACACCGTTTTTATGACAAGACATTCCGTTCTCTCGCTAAACTCATCCTTCCTTTAGCCAATGGTGAACACATATAGTCTATCTGTTTACGTGCTCAATGCACGCAGGCTGACGCACGTGTGGCCTCGAACTTCAAATGACCCAATAAGATAAACCGAAGTGAATACGTCACGTGCACAATTAGTGTGTAAAAGGCATTAGCATAGAGTACCGAAGTATGACGTCACTGTGAACCAGAAAGTGCAAACGAATGGCGTACGTGCGCGTGTTGGTTTAGGCGCTGGTTCTCGCTAATGCCTTTTGACTTTTACACCCTAATTGTGCGCGTGACGTATTCACTTCGGTACTCAATACCTTGAATGTGAGTTTAAACAGCACAGTCTTATCGGCAGTAAATGTTTTTACGTGCATGCAAAGTTTCAGAAAGCACAGCCGCGAGTTCTTGGCGAGCAACACCGTCCCCTCGGCTGTTATATGGTACGGAAAATGCTTCTCAGGGTTAAGACTGGGCAACTTGTGAGGACCTGTGATGATCTTGTGCGGACCTGTGGTAGACTTCAGAGGACTTGTAACTAGCAAGCGAGGACTTGCAAAGGGCTCAACCACAACGCTTGTTTTGTGGCCCTCAATTCACTTGAAATTCATATGCCTTTCTGCACCCCTTCCTTTCACCATCTGCGGGGTTGGTGAGTCAAAACTAGCACCTTCGGCGCTTTACGGTGGACTCCCACGCTTCAACCTGTTCCCTTCAACAAATGAGCAAAACACCATTGATCGCTGCTCATTAATTAACCGTACTGAGACCTCAAGCCTCGCTCTCGGGTGCCCGGGCCCACACCCACGCAACACACCAAAGCACCGACACATACTTGTCCCCAGTTACCAACCGCGAAACCCATTAAAACTATCGAGCACAGGTGACGCACTCCAAAGAACTAGAACTTCACCTGCTTGTGGTCGAGACTATAGTGCGCCCGGTTGCATTTTTTATCAGAGTACGAATCGATTTAATGTCATAGAGAGTCCCTTGCTATATCAGTAGGGTTTTCCTAAACTGTTTCAGTGGTATAGATTCGGGTCAACAGTTTGAAAAAGCGCCAAATTGACATTGTTAGTCGCCTGAAACCAGACCTACTGGATTTACTATCCTCAGGCATAGTCGTTCAAAATTAAGCCTAACAGGGCTGCCACACGAACACCTTTTTGGTCTGAAATCACTACTCCCACGTCGAACCCTTCGAGTTGGAAACATGCTTCTTGTGCATGCACGTTTTGACCCGGAATCAATTTATCGAATTGTCTGGATTTTCGGCAAACCAGCAACGGATTTCAGGATAATTGAGTGAACTCATTAAATTATCCCAGTTTATAAATCTCAGCAGTTGTTAATTCAGTGCCAACAGTGGATTTTTGTTGAATGTTATTAATAAGTCACACTACCGTCCAAAAAAAAACGAACTTTCCCTGGTGCTATAAAGTAGTGGTGCTATACAACCCAGTCCTCCTCTCGAAGATGACAGTAATAACAAAGCTACGATATGCAGAGATAAATGATGGGGGCGCAAGGGAATGCAGAGTATCAGAGTTTAATAAAAAGCTTGGCTGCATCTGTGGGCAGGAGGCATCTCTAGGAGGATTGGAATTGACCCCTAGATGGCAGAGTTCCAATGCCGTGATCGATCCCAATGAAATGAACATTCGAATGAAACGAACAGAAAGGACCCTGACGAGATATCCGGCACTCCGATCACACACACCCTTCATTCCCTGGAGTGTCCTCCGATACCCCCTCCATAGCATCTGTCTGCATCACCGTTTGCCCTTGCGACGAGCTGAACTGGTCTGCCGTGCTTCGTTTCTCTCCTCCCGTGACATTATCAGGCTTGTCCAGGTTCGTAACCCGATTCCTTTTCACCTCCTAGCCGGCCACCGTTCACAACGATCGGTGCAGGTCCATCTAACCCCCCGGGGAAAACCCGCGCAGACAGCTCGCCGATCGCGCTCAAGTTAGGAGGAGCAAGTTTACACACGTCAAGACGCAGCTGAGACAGGCTTTTTTTCTTGATTGGAAAGGAAAGGTTGTGTTAACAAGGTTCATTACATTCCATGCCGTTGTGATCTATTACTTCTGAACGCCTCCCTGTTTCCTGTTACGGACATATATCTCCTGAGTGTTATCGTTAGCGAGTAGTGTCAACCGCTCATCCACAACTAATGCAAGCTCGCCATATGTTCTGGAGTAGTGCCAGTTTCAGTTATTTTGATATCCCTTGTCTCTTTTTGGTAAATATCTTTTCTCGAATTTTGTTTATGTTTCATCTAATTAACCCCTAAATCAATACCTCGGATCTGCTTGGTACCAAAACTGTAACAATCTGTTTCGGCCTTGGTGTCGGCAAACTTTGTTACGTGTAGCAAATTTAGTTTCGATGTTCTCATAGTCAGCAGGTCAATATATTTCATTAGTTATTTGAGACCTGGTCTCGTTCTGCTGTTGTTCAGCCTTGCAGGGATCCATTTGTTTACTCCTGTTTGCTGTGTGTTCTCTGGAATGTAGGCCTATGTTGGTGTGTACAGGCCTGTCATGATACATAGTGTGGACCTCTGCACAAACGAAGTCCACATAAAGTAAGGTATGATGGCGTTGTGTGGACTTGGACACGTCCACACAATGTTTTCCCTTCTCTGACAAAGTTTCAGAAGCATTTTGGGTCAAGGTTATCGGTAGCAAAATGAAGAGGAACAGTCCATGAAATCATCATAAAAAATCCAG